GGCACGGCTAATCGTTTACACTGCACACTTTATCCGAACTGGGTTAGATTTTCAGGATCGCGTACCAGTTTTATCCGTGCTCGGACTACCTCTCGACATGGTCCGAGCACGGGTGAAATTTTGGTCCGGCACGGATGGGCCAAAGTCGTTTACACGACTACCGTATTTATTCGATTAACCGCCCTGGGCGCTTATTAAATTTTTGGACCTTGAGAGTGGGCGCTTATTCGAGGTGGGCGCTTATTCGAGGCTGGGCGCTTATTAAATTTTTGCCATTTTTAGCAAGTGAAGTATGTTTATTTTGCAACAAAACAATAAATGCTAACAACAAAACGCGAAGAAGTAACAAAGCAAGGTTTCTGTATAATACTCTGAAGAAAACTCCGTCCTCGGGGAAGTCTCTAATTAGAATTTATTCACTCAAGTGGGTGAGGTGGGGGTGAGCGCTTATTTGAGTTTGATTGGGATGAGGAGGGGTGGGTGCTTATTCGAGGCTGGGCGCTTATTAACTTTTTCTGCCTTTAGGATGGGCGCTTATTCGAGGTGGGCGCTAATTCGAGGTTGGGCGCTTATTCGAATAAATACGGTAAATCTATCCGTGCCGAACCAATTTTTTCGGTACGCGTACTTTTTTCATCCGAGCCGTGCCAAAAATTTTCGGCCGTGTAAATGGGGCTTTGGTCATAGAGTGCAAAATGTACCTGAAAATTCAGCAAAAACTTCACTGCCTTGGCTGCATTTCAAAACAGACCATGCGCTCCGTGGAGAAGAAAACAAGTTTGAATTCCTCGAAGGACGATTTCTTGATGAAAAGCTTCCCTTCCTCCACAAAAAGAAAGCTGAGCATTCTTTTGAACTTTTTCTTTCAATTTTTTGTCTTTTAACGGTGTATTTTTAACCTTGAAATGCAGAACTCTTGTCTTAAAACATCTACATGGTGATCGCGCGGCAGCCATTTGTTGAAAATGGATATCTGTCACTAAGGTTTCCAAATATTGTAAAAGTGAATATTCACGAGCATTGAACGCGAGTTACACGTTTCAACCCCTTATGAGTTTCTGCCTAGACTCAACAGCTATATCATGCTTTATTAATTGTCTTTATTTTATTTTATTTTTTTTAAAACAGTTGAAAGAAACTTTTGAATTTCAGAGGCTGACAGTTTTTTTGTTGTTGAAATGAAATGTTTTTAATTCGAAAAATTTTTCTTAGATAAATTAACTCTTCCTAAGCTAAATTAAGTGCTTTTTAAATCGACAGGAATTGTAAATAGAGTTTTGAATGAATAGTTTTTTCTTTTTTCAAGCGAATTAATTGTAAATAGGATTTTAATAGTTAGCATTGTTGTCAATAAAATTTTTCATCTACATACAAAAATGTCTGCAATCTGATTGGTGGAAAGTTGTCAAATTATGCCAAATATAGCGCAAAAAACGTAAAATTTAGTGCAGAAAGTTGAAATTAGTTCAAAAAAGGTGATGATTGACAGGTAGGCAAAGCTACAAATCGGCTGCCTGTAAAAAAAATGGCGGACCAATTTGAAGACAGTAACAGCAACTTAATTGAAAGTTTAAACGAAAATGTAAAAAACAAAAACACTCAACAAAGCTATGGCTGAAAATTTTTGAAGATATTGGGCACAACAAAAGGGCCACGACCAAAAATTGAAAGCTATGAACTGGAGGAGACGCTCATCAAAATCCTCGAGGATTGTTTTGGAACAGTGCGTAAAAAAGACGGCCAAGACTGCGAGTGTGACAGTCTTCGCATCATGGTCACTTCAACTGACTTATACCTAAGAGAGCAAGGTTTACATTTTCCAGGAAACTGATCTATTGGTTGAAAATTTTAGTCTAGACTAGGGGGCCAGGAATTACCACTCAAAAATATAAAAAAGTCAAAAGCTGTATCTGAAGTTAAGGATCTCGGAATTTACATTACTTCGAACCTGTCATGGAGTATGCAAGCCACCAAATGTGCAAGTAAGGCAAACAGTGAGCTTGGATTCATAAGACGAGCGGTGGTTCTTAAAAATCCTGAGTGTTTTCGAAACTTTATAAGAGCCTAGTACGTCCGATACTCCAGTACTGCTCTCCAGGTTTGGTGTCCGCACCTCAAAAAAGGCTCACACACCTTGGAGAAGGTACAACGTAAAGCGGCATTCAAATGTGCCCTTGGAAATATTGGGCCAGACATGTCCTACGAAGAACGTCTAACAAAGAAGATCATTTTCGTCGCTTAGGCCATCCTCTTTTTTTCTCCGTTTACCGTCGTCCGACCGACCCAAATTTTTGGCGTTTTCGACGACGTAACGACGTAGTTACACCATTTTTCACTTGAAATAATTCTTTTAATCTGAAAAATGAGCATAGTAACAGCATAGAGAAAAACAGGAACAAAAGCATGAACATTTTTCGCAGTATATTGTGCATTTTGTTAATCCCAATATGCCGAATGTTAACTTTTAACGTCGTCCTGGGGTACCAGGGGCTACTATTCCGAGACTTCTTGTGACTTTTTTTAGTTGTTTTTTTTCAATCCGACCGACCGACCCAATATCAGGAAACGCATTCGACAGTAAAAGAAGAAAAATAAGTGGATGGCCTTAACGATCGTTTATAAGACAATAAACAGACTTAATGGACTAGATCCCTCAGCATTTTTTACCTTTGCACATGATTTTCGATCCTTAAGAGCTAATCACCGTTTCAAACTTAAGTTTGCATCCGTAACTTTAAATAGTTTTTCAAAATATTCTTTTTCTTATACGCATAATCGATGAGTGGAATAATCTGCCAAAGGAAATTGCTGAGACGGAAAATTTGAACACTTTTAAGAACAGACTAAGATGTCATCTTGCAAATTTTTTAAGTGAACACTAAGTTCTTCAAACCGTGTAATACATTATATATTTTGTATTTAGTATTTTAAACAGTTGTAAATAATTAATTTTCTTAATTTATTTTATTATTAGGAGATAAACTAGAAAGGGATAACCGCATTTATCTCCTTTTCACTTTTCCATGGATTTGTCAAATAAACAGTTACTATTAATGTAAATAGTGCTTTGACTGAATAGTGTTTTAAGTGAAATTAATTGTAAATAGGATTTTATAGTTAGCTTTGTTATCAATAAAAGATTCTTATTGTTACTATTATTATTATTATGATTATTGTTATTAAATCGGCAAGTTTAAATTTACGCAACTCAGCCTATAAAAGCTACTCTAGGATAGTGGGAATTTGGGGAGTTTAGTCTAGTATGGGGTAACAAAATTCAGCTGAACAAGCTGTTGTTTTAGGCTAAGGCTTCCAGGGTCCCAGCGGCACATCCCCACCCAAAAATTTCTAAAGTACCCCCTCCCCCCGTCCCCGGGGTTAGAGTTGACTCGTCTGGGAGTAGTGGGTGACCCCTTTACCAGTGACAGGTTTTTCTCATATAAACGGGGCGTAAAGTTCGTCGTTAGTAAGCGCCGGGGACCAAACCGGAAATGTAGTATTATAAAGAAAGAAAAAACGCTACGTACTTGACGGTTAACCAAATTGTACATTTACGAGGTCTTTCTTGCATTTTTGATCATCTCTACAAATACCGAAAACTCCCAACAAAGAAATGAAGTTATTCTTAATGGTGTCCAAGGCGTTCGGAGCATTTCCGTCAAAGTAATAGTAAGGCAAATGGCCCATTTTCAGTCTTTGGTCAGGTGTTACTTCTGTAATTAAACAAAATAAAAGACTTTGGTTAATGTTTTTAAAACATTTAAAACTTCGTTTTATCCGGTTTGTTTTTTGGGTCAGAAAAACTTTAGACTCAATCAACCTGAATCAAGGATTAGCGGTTATTGCGCGTTTTAAACTTTTCCAGCCACTTTAGAAACGAGAACGGAACTGCGGCCAAGTTAACTTTTGTAAGGGTTTCTGGGGCTGTTACTTGGGACATGGAAAACACTGGTCAATAGCTGACCTGCGCGTCCCTAGTAACGACACCCCAGAAACACTTGCGGGCGCATTTAGACTCAAGTTCCCTGCCCGTTTCTAAAATGGCATGCTTGAACTTTTCTTTTCGTGACATTTTCGCTTATGAGTTACGGCAAGGCAATGAAAATGTCATCGCAAAATACGGGGGCTTGTTCTGTCGCACTTTGTAAGGAAAAAGCTGTTGTTGTTGTTGTAGATGATTATACTTATTATTGGGTTTACTTGTCCTCCGAACATCCATTTCAAGTTTGTTACAAGTTTGCGACAAGTGTTATTACAAAGTGCGATGGCCTATTATTACAAAGTGTCACAGCTTGTTTATTACAATGTGCGACAAGTGTTATTACAAAGTGCCACAATTTTAAATTTTATTGCAAATTGCGACAGGTATTACAAGGTGCGAAAGAATATCTTCCAAGGGCTGAACCTTTTTTTTAACAATAATTGCAATATCTTGGTAAGAAAACTGTGAGAACACAATCTCCGAAAAGCGTAGGCAAATTAATAGAAACACTTCAAATTTCTTAGATGAATTGAGCTGTTATTCCGCATGTTATGGCCTCTCTCGTGCTTTAGAAATTCAACGCAAAATTTGCTCCTTCGAACAGTTGTTTTTTAAAAAAATTCGTTAGGTGCACTTGAAAATAAAATTGATCGCGTTCCTCGGAAGCTACCCTGCGAGCAGAGGCTACATTTTCGCGGTATACGAGCTGGCGTGCGAAAAGTAGCTATTTTTCGCACTCCAGCTCATACCGCGAAAATGTAGCCTCTGTTTGCAGGGTACTCGGAAACGGTTTGACGAGATGCATTTCTAGCGTTTTAAAAAATTTAAAGCTTCCTCCTTGGAAAGATTTTTAATCAACAATAAGCTTAGTAGTTCTGTTATGCTTTGACTGAGTTAGGTATCGAACTCGGCTTTTGCTTTTTCTCTGTAGTTGCCTAGATTGCAAAACAGTTGGGCTTTTTTCCCTCAAAATCGGATTAGCGTAGCTAAGAGTCTTACACGCGTACGTACATACGCAAAGATAAGGACTGTTTTGCAGTCTAGTAGTTCCCATGTTGATGAAAATCTTACCAGAGCAGTTGGGCCAAGGTAATCCAGTGGGAAATGGTATGGTAATCCATTGTGCTTTGCTGCACAAATACAGCCATGCGGGATTTGAGACAAAGTCGAAGCCGCCTTTACACATCACAGCACATGCAGAGTCATCAGGCAAACAGGCAAGGGCTCCGTTTGTAGGGGGAGGATAAATGGGGCAAGTTTTCTCTGTTAACGAAAAGTAGTAAATTCATGGAAAACAGGATATAAATAGAAAATGATACACACTGATTTAGATGCAACAAGCGTTTATAAGTTATGTTGAAATGATAAGTGAGCTCATGTTCCTTATGAGGTTACAAAACGAGCGCTTCAGACAGCTTCTTAGCGGAGTCCTAGAGCGCTTTCCATTTGTCAGAATAGAACTAGCCGGCCGGAGCAGTCAGTTAGCAAATGAAATCGGCTTTTTCAAAAGGTTTTTTCCGCTTGCTGAAGCACCATCTCATTCGGGTATACCATTTAGGATTTGACTGATCTGGCTGAATAGTTTTGATTAAAAGTGAAATTCTCATTACGACGGGAAGGGTCTGCCCGGACAGTTTACTGACAAATGGAAAACGCCCTGAAATTAAGACTTAAACTGCAAGAAAGCACTCACGGCTCTGGATCTGTCCTTCTTTGAATAATCCCGTGAGCTTTTGAGAAAATAGGAGCCCGGTATACAACTGAGATGTCTACATGAGACATCGGGACTAACCTCTATTTTTGTCATCAGTTAACTGTTAATTTCACCCCCCTCCCCGGCACCCCAACCAGTAATCAGCTCCTGGAATTAAGCCGAGGGCAACTACACATTAAAGACCATTAAATCAATAGTTTAGAAAAACTTGCAAATAACAGCAGAAAAGAAGGTGCCAAAGCCCTGTGCAAAGCAAATTAGTGTTGAATATGTCTTTGATTGTTAACCATTTCCAAACAGTTTCTGGAAATATCCGCTTGAAAAGTAAATAGAACACGACTTTGCGGGTAGTTCCAGTTGAAAAATTCCGGGAGCAACGGAATTTTTTAAAAGGTAGTCCTGTTTTCCAGGTGGGAATGTTCCAAAAGAAATTGCATTTCTTCAAAACTTAGGCTGTATTCATTTTTTGAAGAGAAAAGACCGGGGATGGTAAAAATTTCTGAAGGCAGGAAGGGGGGATGCCAATTCTTTTAGATGCCATTGAAAGAGTAAGTATTTGTAACGTTACTGATAAACCGCTACACAAGTGAAGTTGCTTATTGTCTAGTTCAGTGAAGGATGTTTTTGTGATTACGACTAAAACTGTAATGTCCTTTACTTTGTGCAGTCAACCAGCGCTATCCACATTATTATACCTGACTCTTCCCCTGTCGTCTCTCTTGAGAAAGGAGAGAAGCGCGAGGGGTGATGGGAAGGAGGAAAGGAGAGAGCCCCTTACCCCTCGCGCTTCTCTCCTTTCTCAAGAGAGACGACTGGGAACGAGTCAGTTATTATACATTATTTTTCCACGTCACGAATTGTTTTTATTCTCATTATCATCATTATCACTGTCGTCATACTGCCCACAATTTACTTTCCTCATTAAAACTGGGAGAGGGAGGGTTGTGAATTTTTCTCAGTTTAGTAAAGAAGGGGGGAGGGGGTATCAAAAAAATTCTGTGTAAATTAGGGGGATATGAAAATATTTCGCCTCTTTAAAAAATATCCTCCTCGCTTCCCCCTCTCCCCTCCTCCCACTTCGCGGCCGGTTTTCGGCAAACCACGGAACGCTATTCGGGGACAAAATCTACCAGTCCTACATTTTGCTCACTACTTGTCCAAACCGTGGACCGACGGGTTTGCCTATGTAAATGGCAGACAAGGCTGGTAATTTTTTGTCAAAAACAGTCTTCGGACTTGCGATCTCACTAATTTTGGCATTAAGCTTCATGGCCCTGTCTGTCCCCTCTTTTGGAAAGCCTGGTCAGTCAGCAAACATAATGTACATGATGGTAAGGACAACAATTTCAGTTTCACTCTTTTAAAACTAATCACATCTGAGATTTTCTCAATAAAAAAGAAAGAAACAAAAAAAGAACGGTAGGACATTCATGTAAAGTCAACTCTCTTTAAGACGCGGGACACCTTTAGGACCGGCACTAAGTGTCCGGGGGGGTACTCCCTCATATAAGCCATATAGGTATGTGCCGCCCCATCGGGTGGGGTTTTTGTGCCGTTTTGTTCTGTAAACGGGTATACACTTTGCCCATTTTGGTCTGGAATCGGGTATGGTTGGCGTGTATGAACGTATCTGACATCGGGTCAGGATTTGAAGAACTTGGCGGCACACCCCTAACGAGAATTCCCAGGAATGACGCCCCCCGGGCACTAAGAGTCCGTCTTAGAGAGATGTCCGTCTTATAGAGAGTTAACTAAAGGGAGTAAAGAAAGGTGGCTACCTCGTACCCAGACGTCTCTCTCTCTATGAAAATGTGCACCCAAAGGAAGGTAGGAAGGAGACAACGCGCGACACGCGCTTCGCCTGCCGTCTGTACTCTTCCCATGGCTCCTTGCGGTTCATCATCAGTCATTCGCTTTTCACGCTCACCTTTACCATGCGAAAAACGAAGCGCCTAAGGAGGAGGCTGGAAAGGTAGGGTGTACTTCGCCCATGTGTCGCATTCTCGACCCCAGTGCTTACGGGTTTGGGAATGCGCTCTCGATCTCTCTCCTCGACATGCGTAGAAGAGCTCTGGGTCGAGATTGCCATATGTCGCCCAACACAAACTTTTTACTTACTCTTCAGAGTTATGCGAAAGCTACATGTGGCTACATTTCCAGACGAGTCTCTTGCCGTATAAATCACTTCGTATGAACCAGGAGCACTAAAAAGAGAACCACTCTGTCGGTTTGAAGTGAGTAATGGAGGAGCACCAGAATTGTCTGTAACGTTGGGTCGCGGCCAATTTACACGAACCTCAGAGTCGCCGGTTTCAATTAAGATATCGCTTGGGCAATCAGTTAAAACTGGAGGCTCCGTATCTGAAATATGATTAACACAATCAAAATAGTTGTCACTTTAAAAACGAAGATTTTGTGTCATGTTAAGATTTACACAGAACTTTAATACAGGAGATGAATTTTCATGAAGGCTCAACACATCTTACAAAAGCGTTGTAAAATTCATTTCTTAATTTATTAACCCTTTATTCAAAGCCCCAATATCCACATACAAATTCTCTATATTGATCTCTTTACATTTCCTTGAAAAACTAGTAGAGAGAGTAACATTTTCTTTTGACGATGTATCGATATTGTTAGGAGAAAAATTGATGTTGATGACTCTTTCTCTTGGGACTTAAAGGGTTTACGTTTTCACCAATCAATGGGCCGTTTTCGGGTCACATGTACACCTCTGGTTGATGGGTGATTTTGAATTAATTTTTGATACAGTCAATTTACTCGTATTCATTAACGCATGATGAAGATCTATACTCGTTGTTTTATTTCATAAGCACGATGAATATTAAATTCAGTGGAACCTCGAATTAACGAACCTCTATATAACGAACTCCTCGGTTTAACAAAAGATTTTCATCAGCTCGGGCAAAATTATAGTAAAATGTATGGAACAGAACCTCTATATAACGAACCTCGATTTAACGAATATTTTAGTTGTTTCCCCAAAAATTCGTTAAATCGAGGTTTTCGATATAACGAACCCTCGATATAACGAACACATTTCCCCAGTCCCCTGGCACTTCGTTAAATCGAGGTTCCACTGTACTCGCGTCCGAACATAACTTCTTCCTTCACAAACTGAAGCTCTACCTTACTAATGTACTATAAAAGCCCACAAAAAAATGCCCATTCATATTTTTATCTTGTACTTAAAGTTGAAATTGTGTTAAAATATATGCATTCCTTCTCACGATCACCTAAGCAGAGTACTATGTTAAGTGGGGATGGGTGATTAGGTAGTCGCATTAGTGCCTGGTCGTGTCAGTAGAACCTGTTCAAATCGTTGGGTATGTCTTGTGGATAAAGGATATTATTTTAGCTGTTTCCACCCTGGCGTAGTCCCAAAAGGACCTATACAACAATGGAAATAATTTACACTCTAAGAAAATTTAATAAATCTTCGATTTTCCTATTAACAATATATATAATAGAAAAACATGAGACGTAAGCCGCATGAGGAACAAATTAAGCATCGACCGTAACAGGACGTAACCGGCAGCCAGCGCCCCATTCATGACCCTGTGATAACAGAAAAGCTAACTTTTTCCTAATAGTAAAGTCGATTACCTGTAATTGCCGCAGTAGTGAATTTTGTCAAGAAAACAGTAGCAATCAAACTTTGCAGAAACTTCATGTCAGCGCGTTCCAACTACAACGAATACTCCTCAGTATATAGGCAAAAAAAAAAAAAGAATCACCTTTTACTTGCGCGCAGGCATACGAAAACTATGATTGCACACGTACTGATGATAGATATTCATGAACTCTACAATAATTATTGTTTTGTTAGCTGTTCTGGAGTTGATGATGGATCACTTTGTTGAACAAAGATCTTTATTCAGCTGTAGATCACAGTGGGTTTCAACTTTTCTACGCGAGAATTTTCGCACATTTGAATAACTGTTTTATCAGTCATCCTTGCACAGTTTGGTCTCTTGGTTAAACTGCGAACACTCTCTCCCCCGCCCCTGCCCCCAGTCTTTCTTCGGCCGTTTTACTATTAACTTACATAATTTTACTTTTTCGCCCAGCGCGCGTAGCTCTGGGGAATGAAGGACGACTTCTCGCTGTCTAGTCTCTTGAGTTTGACGCTGTAACATAGATACAGATACGAATAGATACAATTCAAACAATGCATAAATACGATCGCGACTTTGAATTCAGTTCCACATGTTAAACAAATAAAAAAATAACTTTTTCTAAACTTTGATCTCCATGTAAATGCTTGCAATAGAAATTAAAATCGGTGAGAAAAGCAATCAGTTCTCTTACGGAATTAAGGGCAGAGGGCTCTGAATAACCAGGGGCGGATCCATAGACCTGATAGACTGCGAGCAGTCTCTTATTTTTCTTTTGAGTCACAGAAGGTCTAGAGAAAGAGTGAGGTGCAAGCGGAACGAGGGCTGAAGCCCGAGCGTAGAACATCTCATAATTTCTGAGGAAAGAAGGACGACCGCGCTCGCAGTCGGCGAGCAAGCTCTCCCTAGGACCCCATGCTATGTTACCTGTCTCCCCACCGCACCCCCGTCAGGTTGCTGGACGAAGACGGTGGATTTACTCAAATTTGCTCCTTACAAATTGCAAATATGTAAAAAATGAGGAGTAAATATATGGCAAAGATGGTAAAAGTTCTATTTGCATACCAAAAACTAGGGGTTGCAAATAGCCAACCACTAGCTGCACCGGCGAAATGACGCCTGACGAACTAGCGCAGAAATTCTGCATTGTTGATGTGTCACTACCCAGATTTGGGTAATGCTTATGATGTACAAATTACCATATGTATATACCACTGAACGATCCTTTCGATAGCAATGTCTTTATTGCTTCAATCTTAACAGTTAATCAATATTTTGTCCCATAAAATGAGGAACCACCTGTTTGTGTCCTCCTTTACAAAATTAATCATGAATCACCATACTCAGTGTTTCAATCTATATTTATAGAGCTTTAGATTCGAGAACGCGGAAGACTACGGGGGCGAGATTTAAACAAACAAGTAAACAACCCAGAAAGCTTCATTTTACGTTTTTTTCACCAAAAAAGTTAGGACGGTTATTTATACTGAAGGAGGTTACGCCCTCTCCTGATAACAAAATGATAAACCACGAACATTTGATAACTTGTTTCCGCCACTATGACATTTTCTCAAAAAACCTGTAGTAGAATGACGACGACTATCGCGTTTTCCGCCAAAATAGAGACTTAAAAATCCAACGACGCGACGTCAACGAGAACGTCGCTTAGAAAGTGAATTTGCGTTCTTTCAGTCTTTATCGCAATTATTCCTACCCACTTACTTTGTCAAATGTAGGTGAACCCTCCTGGAACTGAAATCCTAGGGCCAATATCCAAGTTCAAAAAGAGAAATAAAATTTCGTCTTTGCTTGTTTATGTCCTCCATAAAACGCGAAATTGGGCACCTTCACGTCGTAGTCGTGCAAAAACGGGCAAAGAAATGTACAAAAAAAGCGTGATGCATGTGGAAAGTTGCTGTTTTGCTTATAGAAAACTATTGTTTTTTTTTACGGTCTCGTTGCCGTCCGCGTCGGTTGATCTTAAAGTCCCTAATGACGAGGGTTCACGCGCGGCGCCCACTAATTGGGGAGTTTTAGCAACGACGACGGCGACGGCAGCGAGACCGTCAACACAGCAATAGGTTTATTAAGCAAAACAACAGGTTTGGCCGTGCATCACGCTTTTCTGTACATTTCTTAGCCGTCACTGCACGACTACGACGTGAAAATGCCTAATTTCACGTTTTATGGAGGACGTAAACAAGCGACGACGAAATTTTCTTTCTCTTTCTTAACTTGCATGCGGTCCCCAAGAAATCAACTTTAGAGAAATTTGCCAACTTCAGACATTTTCAGCGAATCGGAATAAACGCGAAAAAGTTTGAAAAAACGCTAATTCATTTTAAAAGTGACGTTTTCGCTGCCGTCGCCCTTCGTCGATGCTAAAACTCCCTATTGGTACAACGGTGGCGACGGCTACGATTAAACGTGAATTTGCGCTGCTTCATGCCCAAACATTAACAAGCTTATTCCATCTCGTTTACTTTGTCAAATGTTTTTGGCTTTGAATTCTACAGGACTGTATGAAAGTTTAGGAAAAGAAAAACAAAGTTGTTGTCGTGTGTTCCCGTCCGCAACAAAACGTGAATTTAGGCACTTTCACGTTGTATCGTGCAACGATGGCAAAGAAATGTACAAAAAAAGGGTGATACACGTGCAAAATTGCTGTTTTGCTAATCAAACCTATTGCTTTTTTGCCGTTCTCGTTGCCGTCGCCTCATCATTCCTTAAGCTCCTTATTGGGAAAATTTCGTTCTCCCAGTAATGTAGCCGTCCTCGTCTTAGAATCTGAAGGTCTCTGACAGTACAACAACGAAAATTAAAAAAACGCGTTGTACTAGGCCAACTTAGTGGCCACAAAACGAAGCGAGGGGAACTAATGAAAACTCAAAGTTATAGTGAATCGTGTAACCTGCGAAGTCAAGAGTGGAAAGCAAGCATTTTAAATGTGTTGACAGTGAAACAACAGTGTTAATGATATCAGCCGTCATACACGGTGTAGGTGATTGAGCTCTGAGAATAAAAAGACCTTTTCAACTCTAATGGCCTGGTTGAATGTATAACAAAATCGTCGAAAACACATTTATCTATGATTAATCTCGTGGTCGCTATCCACTTGGTCTAACTGGGTTCTGAATGTCAAGTCCCAGGAATAAGTGACTGAGAAAACTCTTTGGCCTTTTAAGTATGTGAACCCAGTGCCAGAAGATCTGTATGAGAGTTCGTGACTTATTCTAAGTTGACACAAGTGGTTAGTTCTATACACGGGTTTGAAAAAACCGGATGCAGGTAAATTGGAGAGGTTTCTCTCTCTCAATTCAGCAGTAACAAACATTATACCTCATATTTCAAAAACTGAAAATATGTTGCTGACATCAACAGCGGGAAACGCGTATTTAGCTTGAAAGGTGGTTGAATTTGTCTTGCTATATTCGGTCTAATTCAGTCCCGGTGGATTGTGGTTTTGAGAGCGAAATAACAGTTTGTTTTCTAAATAATAACTTATAAGGAAATTCTTACTGGCGCTATTTTTAACAAATTCCTTCAAACGTGACTGTCCAGCTTAAGAGAATTAACTCTACCTATTGAAATCGTAACTCCACCGTCGTTTCGAACAAAAAATTCTAAAACCTAAGCACCGTCTACTGTCTGATAAAACCCAACAGGATGTTAAAAACAAACTTCTCTAATAACCAAGTCTAGCATCTTCTGGCGCAATCGGTGGAACAGAAAATCTTGCTCTTCTTTGGATGACGAAGAAACTGCCTTCCAATCAGTGATGTCTTGCACATTGCGCACTTGAAGCACTCGTCTCGCGCGTGCCAGAACTCTCCCTCGTATTCGATCGTGCCCTGTGAATGTTTTCGATTCGCCATGATCGATGAAACTTTCAAGGACCCTTAAGCCAGGCTGTCTGTATACACAATTAGCTTTGTCTTTCGACTCTAACTGTTTTACAATTATTCGGAAGGGAGGGGCGCTAAGACGGAAAACGGGAAAATTGCCTGCTTTTTGTTGAGAGTATATTCACGGAATGAAATTGATAAAATGAATAGCCATCTCCAAAAACCGTCTACAAATGACAAAATCTGAAGCGAAACTCTGTAACAGTGCGCGTATAGCAAAGCACCGTTGATTTGTGCACACTAATGATAACTATTACTGGAGGGCTGTGGTCTAACCTGGAAGAAAAAGTTAAGGAGGCGGAATTGGCAGTTTAGAAAGTCGCCTTCGTGTCATACGACCCACTGTTGCTTGAAGGGGGCCGAAAAAGCCAGTAATGGTAAATAAAATATGTCAATCTGGTTTTAGAATGCGAGGAATGTAAGGTCTCTGAGGTCCAAGAACTAATAATAGGGACCTTACGATCCGACAACGGCGACGTTCATTAACAGGTCGCTGAAAAAAAGATTCCGCATGCTTTCAAACCATTTCGCGATTATCTCAAGTCGACCAGTTACTAAAAAGAAGGGAATTTATGTTGGAGCTGAAGATTGGGGCCGCGCCCGAGTTCAGACAGAGATACTAGACTTTTTCGCCTTGCCGTTCCCATTCTCAAAAAGACTTAAAAATTTGGTCATTTCAAGTCGTAGTCGTGGAGGGACGACAAAAAAATGTACAAAAAATCGTGATGCACGTGCAGAGTTGTTGTTTTGCTAAATATATACCTATTGCCTTTTGACGTTGCCGTTGCAGTCACCGTCGTAGTTTCGTAAGGTCCCTGATATGTCCGCGCAGGCGCCATCGTCTCTTTCCATCTCCCACTAGACAATTCCATTAGAGAACGAGACTGGCAGCGAAAAGTGTTTACTGTGGAAACTCCATATAAGGAAGGGCCAAGAGAATGTGTTGGTTATATCCGTTTAGTAATATGAATATGCAACTAGTGGTCTATTATCAATGCTGCGTTCTGATTGGTTGAGCTACTACTAGGCTATATGTTATAGCCCACTAGTAGCGAAAAGCGCCGGCTTTTTGGCGGTAAAAAAGGATTGAAGTCTAGCCTTAAGAAGCTAAATTTTTTTTATTCTCGATATTTTTGACCTCATGGCCTCTGAGTCAATAGCCAATTCGGCCTTCGGCCTCATGGGCTATTGACTCAGAGCCCATTCGGGCTCGAGCAATAATCGTTAAATATTTTACTGATTTTATAATGACGTGCGTGAATATCGTTTTTCTACTGCGCGAGGGCTTCGTTATAAAGGGTTCCGTTGAGTCGAGGTTCTACATGAACTGCCTCTTCCTTCCTGTAGCAGAAACTAAAAACGGTGAAATGGTCGAAAATTTTCTCTTCTGACTTTTCAAACACTTGGAAACCTTCCTCTGCAGAGTTTTCCAGTTTTGAACACTGCTCTACAACCTCTACGACGCCAGCGCTCGCAAAACAAAGTCAACTTATGAAAGGTTTTAACAAAAGTCGTACTGATGGCAGTTACGAGACGATCTTGTCCATTTTTTATTGTTGTGTTTCCTAGGAGGAGCTGGGACAGCGTTAGTCAGCCGTCTCCACAGTCAGTGGTTCGAGAGGACGTAAATGATAATTATTATTATTATTATTATTATTATTATTATTATTATAAAATTAATAAATAGATAAATTACAGAAATAATGACCTTTTTTCCGGTAGAAAGACACGTGTAAGATTCCCTAATGACCTTATAGATTGGAGTCATATAATACAATAATGAGGATACTTAAGAAAACAACGTGGGGTTAGAACGCTGTTTATTACTTTTGTGTTTTACATGTCGTTACTCTAGTAGCCTTAAGTTGGTATTTTCTTTCCTTTCTAAATTAATTTCCTCAATGCATCATTCAATCATCAGTGCGCAACGGTATGTTTCAACCTGCAGGAAAAAAATTTATTATTATTATCTGGAAACTTGTCAAATTATCCCAAATATAGTGCAAAAAACGTGAAATTGAGTGCAGAAAGTTGAAATTAGTTCAAAAAAGGTGATGATTGACAGGTAGGCAAAGCTACAAATCGGCTGCCTTTAAAAAAAATGGCGGACCAATTTGAAGACAGTAACAGCAACTTAATTGACAGTTTAAAGGAAAATGTAAAAAACAAAAACACTCAACAAAGCTATGGCTAAAAGTTTGAAGATATTGGGCAGAACAAAAGGGTCACGACCAACAATTGAAAGCTATGAACCGGAGGAAGAGCTCATCAAAATCCTCGAGGATTGTTTTGGAAAAGTGCGTAAAAAAGACGGCCAAGACTGCGAGTGTGACAGTCTTCGCATCATGGTCACTTCAACTGACTTATACCTAAAAGAGCAAGGTTATCATTTTCCAGGAAACTGATCAATTGGTTGACAATTTTAGTCTAGACTAGGGAAACCAGGAATTGCCACTCAAAAATATAACAAAGTCAAAAGCTGTATCTGAAGTCGTTAAGGATCTTGGAATTTACATTACTTCGAACCTGTCATGGAGTATGCAAGCCAACAAATGTGCAAATAAGGAAAACAGTGTGCTTGGATTCATAAGACGAGCGGTGGTTCCTAAAAATCCTGAGTGTTTTCGAAACTTTATAAGAGTCTAGAACGTCCGATACTCCAGTACTGCTCTCCAGGTTTGGTGTCCTCACCTCATCAAAAAAGGCTCACGCACCTTGGAGAAAGTACAACGTAGAGCGGCATTCAAATGTGCCCTTTGAAATATTGGGCGAGACATGTCCTACAAAGAACGTCCAAAGTTCCTTAAATGGCCAACACTTCAACAAAGACGATCATTTTCGTCGCTTAGGCAATCCTCTTTTTTTTCTCCGTTTACCGTCGTCCGACCGACCCAAATTTTTGGTATTTTCGACGACGTAACGACGTAGTTACACCGTTTTTCACTTGAAATAATTCTTTTAATCTGAAAAATGAGCATAGTAACAGCATAGAGAAAAACAGGAACAAAAACATGAACATTTTTCACAGTATATTGTACATTTTGTTAATCCACTGATATCTGAATGTTAACCTTTAACGTCGTTCTGGGGTACCAGGGCCTACTATTCCGAGACTTCTTGTGACTTTTTTTACGTTTTTTTTTTTCAATCCGACCGACCGACCCAATATCAGGAAACGCATTCGACAGTAAACGAAGAAAAAAGAGGGGATGGCCTTACCGATCGGTTATAAGACAATAAACAGACTTAAGAGGCTGTCCGCGTAAGAACCGATAAGGCAAATTTTGGTCTATCAGGGATTGCCCTGATTTTTCCAGTGGAAGATAACTATCCTATCCCATGAAGAAATATCACATTTATTTGGACCAACTCAATTTTTTCTCTATTTTACAGAAAGATTTTCTCGGTCACCTAAAACTAGCCAGTTTGCCGTCGGAAGTGGTGCGATTTTAAGGAAACTTTAGGGCTCTTGCAAACCTACCTTACAAAGCCGAATAAGCTGATTATTTTACACACAAATGTTTTAACTCTGATTAATAGTTTCAAGGTTTAATGGTTACATTCTGTGGAAAGTTGGCTGAGATATGATTTTTTTAAAATGACCTTTAATTTGCCTATCGGAAAAGTAATTTGCATAACTAGAGCTGAACGGTAATTTCGCAAAGGTGGCACCTGACCCAGACTCAAGTCTATGATAAAACAGAAGTACTAAGACCAGTCTACTTCTTAATGCAATAAAATTTGTGGGCACTCCTCTTTGCGTGCTGTACTAAGTTCCGTTAATGTTCCAAAATTCGCCATTTTGACAGCAAAGCTGGAATTGTAACGGTCTGCATCTGGTCGACTAATTTCCACAGTTTTAACGTTTCTAGTTATCACTAACTGTCATTAGACCCTTTTAGATATTGGACTTTCGAAAACATGTGGAGAAAAGTTAGTAATCGCTTTTTCTTGGTTTTTTTCTTGTCGACGATGAACGTGACTTCACTCTCCGTATGCAAATTAGCCTTAGATGCGTCGTTTCAACAACTTGACATGAAACATAATCCTTACATTTCATATTTCTAAGGAGAAAAATAACTCTCCTTTCCACAGAAAAACACGAACCATTACTTAGACTCCCCTTAAGGTCTGTTTTTTTTTGTTTAACGAGGAAGAAGCAGCTGAATAATATATCATGATATACGTTTGCGTGGCTTAAAATAATTCAATTACCGTGGCCTGTCACGCATTCCTAACGAGGGGCGGTCGATTAGAAAACAATAGCGTTGAATCGATCAATTTTATTATATTATCATCTTTTTTTAAATGGTAGTTAATGATAATAATTAAAAATAAGAGTTAACTTGCAAGGTAAGTCCTCTTGTCACCACGATAAAATTTGTGGGCACTCTTTTTTGCTTATCAGATGTTTGTACACCCGGTATGACCAATCGATAAAAACCGATATCGGAAAACCGTTCGATAAATCGATATCAATCGATAATTTTTAATTAATCGATATCGATTTTATCGATCAATCGATAGAAATCGATACTCACAGTCTTCCGCGTATTTAACGATATCGATTTTATCGAGTAATCGATATTAACGGAGTATCAAAAACCATACAAAATAAAATATAAAACTGCTTCTATGTGGACAGCGTTTTAATTTAATATAAAACAATGAACAGAAACATTAAGCAACCAAGGATTTATTTCATTCAGTCAACACATTAACTTCATTCTTTGTTTTTCTTTTGTTTCTTTGGTTCTGGAACCATGTTTTAACCTAAAAGGAAAAAAAAAAAAAAAGAAACCAAATTTATATGTTTATATGTTTATTGCATGCAACCGTATCCCGGTTAATCATTTTGACTCTTATATTCCCGGTATATTCTCGCAAGGTCTCTCGATGATTTTACTTTATATCTCCAGGAAAAAGCTTACTTGGTGTTGCTCTAAGTCAAAGTTCTCGGCCAACTTTTCCATTAGCTGTGCCGTCGGACGGCATTTACAAACATGTTTTCTGAGCTTCTTAATGTTGAGTTCCTTTCAAATTTATATCAGTTATTTTTGTTTCATTACCTCTCTTCTGCTTTAGTTGCGGAGTTCATCATTTACTCCGTTTTACTTATTTATAGAATGATTTTAGCTCTGATTTGTAGTATGATTTTTGCGGCGGCGAGGGTTTTGCTGACAAAACATTTACTGGAGACAATGTCTAGCATTACAACTACGCAGCTTCGTACTTCGTAGTACATGTATTTGTAGGATGTCATTACGACATTTAGCTTGAACAGTTTCTGAGTAAATACAAAAAGCGGTTATGTTATGTTGCGTTTCCCCGTTGAATCATGCCAGGGAATCGTGTTAATATTATTTGATTATCAGTATTCATTCAATTATCGATTTGTTAAATAAATCTTTAAATTCGTCCTACTTGATTCATTGAATCGTAAGAGTGTTTTTATGGAAGATTTGATACATTTTAGAAATTCGATAAAATCGATAACATTAATTTAAAAATCGATAATTATCGATTACTCACAACGTGTCCTTTTATCGATTTTAATCGATTTCCGATACAATTTACTAATTTTTATCGATTGTTATCGAATGTTATCGATTATCGGTTTTATCGATTGCACATGCCGGGTTGTACACGGCACTATGATTAAAAAAAATGCCCCACACTTTTTCTATCTAAATCCATGTATAGCTTTGCAAAAGGCAAATTAGCTGTAAATTTCAGTTTCATTCAAAGATCTTTAAAGCATTTATCGGTAGCAGAATAAAAGGGGAAAAGGGATTATCTCAGTTTTTAGTTTTTGTTAGGGTCAGGAGCCTATGGGCTCCTGTCACACCCGTATTCCCAAGATGATCTTGTTTTGGTTTCAATCTAATTGAATTATAATGCAACAGGTGCCAGTTTCAAATATAATTATGTCAATGAAATCGCCAAAGAGATCAATTGTTAAAAGAGCTGTTCTTTTCGCGAGATCGTGAAGACAGAGTGTGGTCCCAGTAGGGGTGTGGAGGGAAATGTGTTGGTCGCAGAGTGCATGAATGATATTACGTCGCACTTAGCCAGCTGTCACTTGCCTAAGTGTAGCAAAGTCAATGACTAAATGAACTCATTTTAGCGAGAGTGTTTGGTAGGTATTCGGAACTGAAATGACAATCTGCCCAAGGCACAGACACTAATAGCCTGTGTACAGACCCCCCGTCCTTCTCTTAGGAAAAATCGGAGAAGGGGCCCCTTCTCCGAGGGGGTCGGGGGGTGGTGTGAACACAGGCTAACACCAACATGACAATCTGCCCAAGGCACAGACACCTACTTGGCAGGTTTTTGCGAGCGCCAAGGTCTTGTTAGGCTCGATTGTAAGCCGCTGTGCTGGAAAATGAGCCCCCAAGGGATTGGGAGACGGCGGAAATCGAGCCTAAGGTCTTGTCAATACCCCGGTCACACTCTGGATCATACTGGCAAAACAACTACTGTGGCAGGAAATAAGTCAAAGTTTTGCTCCATCATGTAAGTATCATTCTTTTTTCTTCTTCACGCAAAAAATTTCTAAACGTACAGAGATATTCTTATTTCTCCATTTAACATTTTATCTTGCGATGTTTTCTGATGTTCGTTTCCAGTTTAGTTGAGCTTGCAAAGATAGTTTATTTATTTCTATTTTTTGACAGCCGTGTATCTTGCTCTAATCAATTCTCACCTATAAAATACTATACATAAAGGTTAATCCGTGTGTTGTAGAAGATAGTTTTCTGATGATTGTTTGAAGAGCATTGTAAATGGGGAAAAAGGAAAGAACTTTCTACACGGAGTCAGGATTCAACCTCGTCCCCAGGACTTTCCCGCCCCTGCCATTTTCTAAGAGGAATGTCCTTGGGACGTATGTGAAAAATATTTCATTCTTGCAATAAAAACAATCTTTTTGAACTTAAACAGTGTTAAAACATGTCTCTGGTTTTGTAAAAATTAGTGAGACTTAAAAGTACCAGAATGTTCAGTTCAACTTTATATAGCCGATTTGCTCCTCCTGTGGCAAGAAACGTGAAAAAACTTGACGCCAAAGGGTCGAGAAGAGTACGATTGAGCAGTCAGCAACCATGTCCACACCGTTGCCGGAGAGGTTTATTGGACAAGATTTCTCTGTTTTTCTTGTTTTGATAACGTTTCCATTAAGTCTTCAAAAATGCCTCCAGATTGCTGTTTTTTTTTTGTATTTATACCCTCTTGAACAATGTGCTCCATCAAAGTGCTCCACCCATCTCTTTATTTTTAACCTACTTTACGATCCACCCTCTCTCCCTCCGGTTCCACCTCTACTTTTACAAGCATTTATACTTAAAGGGTGAAATTTCTCCTCTGTATATTAATTCCTGAAAAATTAAGTCCTTCTACTTTTCCTTAAATTCTTAAACTTAGTTCTTTTTCCTTTAAGAACCGCCAAAGGTGCTGCTAAGGCTGCAATAAGCGCACTCGCCCTTTCATATACTTCATCTAGTGAAATGCGTACCCTTTCATATACCTGAAGCCTGAAAAAGATACCCCTCTCGGGTGGAGCCTCCCCGTATAGCCCATCATAGGGAGTTCCCCCCACCCCCATTCCAATTCCGTGCTCACCTATTGCCAGCCCATGTTGGACTCTAGGCCCGTTTGAGTCAACACTTAAACATAGTCCTAAGTGTAATTACAATAAGGCAATGGACGAAATAACCAATGTAATGAACTTGAATATACATTGAACTTGACTATAGAGATCTGCAGCAAGAAGACGAGGTGTTCGAAAGGCAAAAGCTTGTTGCAGAAATCACTCAAGAATAACTGAGACCACAACACCCTCAATCAGAAGCTTTCAACCTATGTATATGTCAAAGAAAGATCAACCAAGCCAGTTCAACGTGGTAACAGAGCCGAAGGGCAGCTGCCTCCCCTGGACCTGTTGAGCCAGACAAATCAAGTCTGTGGATGGATTTGTTTTCTTTGGACTCAGTTATGTTGATTATAGTGACTTGCAATTGTTTGCCATTTTCATCTTCGAGGTTGATTTTTCGGAGACATATCTCATGACAAGTGCTGAAAATAGCATTTCGGAGCCTCCAAATTTGAAAATTTTTCTAGGGGAGGACACCCCCAGACCCTCCCTACAAGGCTCGTGCCTTCGGCTCTCGCGATAATGCCCCTCGTCACTAAAAACCTAGCTACAGCCCTGGGTAATGCTAAAAAAAATAAGTTGTGTCACTTTAAAATACCATTCAAATCCAGGGAAAGAAAAGGAGACCTAATTTACAAACTTTCGTCTTTCATTCACTGAGTGAACGTGCTTTTCTCTACTCAGCTCAGTAGTAAACATAGACAACATAGGGATCCTTAATTTAGTGTGATTAACAGCCGGCAAAAACTTTTGGGTTTTAACAGGAGACGGACCGTAAACAAAAAACTATGCCTTTTTCTTTTCTTCCAAGTGACTACTTTTTGGTTGATTGTCGTGTATTACACCATGGGCCGTAATATTAAACCCTATCCTAGTGGCGCCCTCTGACTGACTGACTCAGTTAAAACGGTCGTAGAATGAATAAATACAACAGCACGGTATTTCCCACCCAGTAAAGAATCGGAATTAACAGTGATTAAATTGTATGATTATCAATATCTATCACCTCAAAAAAGATATAATAAGATAAAAGAACTGATCGATACACGGTCACTCTGGCGGAATGCGTGACGAGCCACAGTAATTAAACTATTTTTTAAATTCGCGTAAACCTTCTTCTTCTGCTGCTTCTTCCTCGTAAAAGAAACAGACCCAAGGGGATTCTAAGTCATACATCGTTCGTGTTTTCCCGTAGAAAGAAGAGTTATTTTTCCCTTAAAAATATGAAATACGAGTATTATATTTCCTGTCAATTTGTTGAAACGACGCATCTAAGGCTAATTTGCATACGGAGAATGAAGTCACGTTCATCGTCGACAAGAAAAAAAACCAAGAAAAAGCGATTACCAAGTTTTCTTCACATGTTTTCGAAAGTCCAACATTTAAAGGGTCTAATGACAGTTAGTGATAACTAGATATGTTAAAGTTGTGGAAATTAGTCGACCAGATGCAGACCGTTACAATTCCAGCTTTGCTGTCAAAATGGTGAATTTTGGAACATTAACGGAACTTAGTACAGCACGCAAAGAGGAGTGCCCACAAATTTTATTGCATTATGAAGTAGACTGGTCTTAGTACTTCTGTTTTATCATAGACTTGAGTCTGGGTCAGGTGCCACTTTCGCGAAATTACCGTTCAGCTCTAGTTATGCAAATTACTTTTCCCGATAAGCAAATTAAAGGTCATTTTAAAAAAATCATATCTCAGCCAACTTTCCACAGAATGTAACCATTAAACCTTGAAACTATTAATCAGAGTTAAAACATTTGTGTGTAAAATAATCAGCTTATTCGGCTTTGTAAGGTAGGTTTGCAAGAGCTCTAAAGTTTCCTTAAAATCGCACCACTTCCGACGGCAAACTGGCTAGTTTTAGGTGACCGCGAAAATCTTCTTGTAATACAGAGAAAAAAATGAGTTGGTCCAAATAAATGTGATATTTCTTCATGGGATAGGATAGTTATCTTCCACTGGAAAAATCAGGGCAATCCGTGATAGACCGAAATTTGCCTTATCGGTTCTTACGCGGACAGCCTCTTAATAGACTAGATCCCTCAGCAGTTTTCACGTTTGCATGATTTTCGATCCTTATGAGCTAATCACCGTTTCAATCCGTTTCAAACTTGAGTTTGCATCCGTACCTTTAAATAGTTTTTTAAAAAATTCTTTTTTTATACGCATAATCGATGAGTGGAATAATCTGCCAAAGGAATTTTTGCTGAGACGGAAAATTTGAACGCTTTTAAGAACAGACTGAGATGTCCTCTTGCACATTTTTCTAGTGAACACTAAGTTCTTCAAACCGTGTAATATATTATATATTTTATATTTAGTATTTTAAACAGTTGTAAATAATTTATGTTCTTAACTTATGTTATTATAAGGAGATAAACTAGAAAGGGATAACCGCCTTTAACTCCTTTTCAGTTTTCCATGGATTTGTGAATAAACAGTTACTATTAATGTAAATAGTGCTTTGACTGAATAGTAGTTTAAGTGAAATTAATTGTAAATAGGATTTTATAGTTAGCTTTGTTATCAATAAAAGATTCTTATTGTTACTATTATTATTATTATTATTATTATTATTGTTATTATTATTATTATTATTAAATCGGCAAGTTTAAATTTACGCAACTCAGCCTAAAAGCTACTCTAGGATAGTGGGGATTTGGGGAGTTTAGTCTAGTATGGGGTCACAAAATTCAGCTAAACTAGCTGTTGTTTTAGGCTAAGGGTTCCAGGGTCCCAGCGGCACATCCCCACCCAAAATTTCTTAAGTATCCCCTTCCCCTCGTCCCCGGGGTTAGAGTTGACTCGTCTGGGAGTAGTGGGTGACCCCTTTACCCGTGACAGGTTTTTCTCATATAAACGGGGCGTAAAGTTCGTTGTTACTAAGCGCTGGGGACCAAACCGGAAATTTAGTATTATAAAGAAAGAAAAAACGCTACGTACTTGACGGTTAACCAACTTGTACATTTACGAGGTCTTTCTTGCATTTCTGATCATCTCTACATATACCGAAAGCTCCCAACAAAGAAATGAAGTTAGTCTTAATGGTGTCCAAGGTGTTCGGAGCATTTCCGTCAAAGTAATATTGAGGAAATTGGCCCATTTTCAGTCCGTGGTTAGGTGTTACCTCTGTAATTAAAAAAAGTAAAAGTTTTTAAAACATTTAAAACTTCGTTTTATCCGGTTTGTTTTTAGGGTCAGAAAAACTTTAGACTCAATCAGCCTGAATCAAGGATTAGCGGTTATTGCGCGTTTTAAACTTTTCCCGCCACTTTAGAAACGAGAACGGAACTGCGGCCAAGTTAACTTTTTGTAAGGGTTTCTGGGGATGTTACTTGGGACATGGAAAACACTGGTCAATAGCTGACCTGCGCGTCCCTAGTAACGACACCCCAGAAACACTTGCGGGCGCATTTAGACTCAAGTTCCCTGCCCGTTTCTAAAATGGCATGCTTGAACTTTTCTTTTCGTGACATTTTCAAACAAAAGCGATAAATTTTTCCCAGAAAGATAATTTCTAATTTCTCGCTTATGAGTTACGGCAAGGCAATGAAAATATCATCGCAAAATACGGGGGCTTGTTCTGTCGCACTTTGTAAGGAAAAAGCTGTTGTTGTTGTTGTCGATGATTATACTTATTATTGGGTTTACTTGTCCTCCGAACAACCATTTCAAATTTGTTACAAGTTTGCGACAAGTGTTATTACAAAGTGCGACAATTTTATTGCAAATTGCGACAGGTATTACAAAGTGCTGAACCTTTTTTTTTAACAATAATTGCAATATCTTGGTAAAAAAAAAAGTGAGATTACAATCTCCGAAAAGCGTAGGTAAATTAATAGAAACACTCCAAATTTGTCACATGAATTGAAATGTTATAGCTTCTCTCGTGCTTTAGAAATTCAACTCAATATTTGCTCCTTCGAAGAGTTGTTTTTTAAAAAAATTCGTTCGGTGCACTTGAAAATAAAATTGATCGCGTTCAACGGAAGCTACCCTGCGAGCAGAGGCTACATTTTCGCGGTATACGAGCTGGCGTGCGAAAAGTAGCTACTTTTCGCACTCCAGCTCATACCGCGAAAATGTAGCCTCTGTTTGCAGGGTACTCAGAAACGGTTTGAAGAGATGCATTTCTAGCGTTTTAAAAAATTTAAAGCTTCCTCCTTGGAAAGTTTTTTAATCGACAATAAGCTCAATAGTTCTGTTATGCTCTGACTGAGTTAGGTATCGAACTCGGCTTTTGCTTTTTCTCTGTAGTTGCCTAGACCGCAAAACAGTCGGGCTTTTTTTCCCTCAAAATCGGATTAGCGTAGCTAAGAGTCTCACACGCGAACGTACTTGAATACGCAAAGATAAGGACTGTTTTGCAGTCTAGTAGTTCCCATGTTGATGAAAATCTTACCAGAGCAGCTGGGCCAAGGTAATCCTCCCCCCTGAGGACTGCCGAGCATGATCCATTGTCCTCGGCTGCACAAATACAGCAATGCGGGATCTGAGACAAAGTCGAAGCCGCCTTTACACATCACAGCACATGTAGGGTCATCACTTAAGTCCAAACAGGCAAGGGCTCCGTTTGTAGGGGGAGGATAACTGGGGCAAGTTTTCTCTGTTAACGAAAAGTAGTAAATTCATGGAAAACAGATATAAATAGAAAACGATACACACTAATTTAGATGCAACAAGCGTTTATAAGTTATGTTGAAATGATAAGTGAGCTCATGTTCCTTATGAGGTTACAAAACGAGCGCTTCAGACAGCTTCTTAGCGGAGTCCTAGAGCGCTTTCCATTTGTCAGAATAGAACTAGCCGACCGGAGCAGTTAGTTAGCAAATGAAATCGGCTTTTTCCAAAGGTTTTTTCCGCTTGCTGAAGCACCATCTCATTCGGGTATACCATTTAGGATTTGAATGATCTGGCTGAATAGTTTTGATTAAAAGTGAAATTCTCATTACGACGGGAAGGGTCTGCCCGGACAGTTTACTGACAAATGGAAAACGCCCTGAAATTAAGACTTAAACTGCAAGAAAGCACTCACGGCTTTGGATCTGTCCTTCTTTGAATAATCCTGTGAGCTTTTGAGAAAATAGGAGCCCGGCATACAACTGAGATGTCTATATGAGACATTGGGACTAACCTCTATTTTTGTCATCAGTTAACTGTTAATTTCACCCCCCTCCCCGGCACCCCAACCAGTAATCAGCTCCTGGAATTAAGCCGAGGGCAACTACACATTAAAGACCATTAAATCAATAGTTTAGAAAAACTTGCAAATAACAGCAGAAAAGAAGGTGCCAAAGCCCTGTGCAAAGCAAATTAGTGTTGAATATGTCTTTGATTGTTAACCATTTCGAAACAGTTTCTGGAAATATCCGCTTGAAAAGTAAATAGAACACGACTTTGCGGGTAGTTCCAGTTGAAAAATTCCGGGAGCAACGGAATTTTTTAAAAGGTAGTCCTGTTTTCCAGGTGGGAATGTTCCAAAAGAAATTGCATTTCTTCAAAACTTAGGCTGTATTCATTTTTTGAAGAGAAAAGACCGGGGATGGTAAAAATTTCTGAAGGCAGGAAGGGGGGATGCCAATTCTTTTAGATGCCATTGAAAGAGTAAGTATTTGTAACGTTACTGATAAACCGCTACACAAGTGAAGTTCCTTATTGTCTAGTTCAGTGAAGGATGTTTTTGTGGTTACGACTAAAACTGTAATGTCCTTTACTTTGTGCAGTCAACCAGCGCTATCCACATTATTATACCTGACTCTTCCCCTGTCGTCTCTCTTGAGAAAGGAGAGAAGCGCGAGGGGTGATGGGAAGGAGGAAAGGAGAGAGCCCCTCACCCCTCGCGCTTCTCTCCTTTCTCAAGAGAGACGACTGGGGACGAGTCAGTTATTATATATTATTTTTCCACGTCACGGATTGTTTTTATTCTCATTATCATCATTATCACTGTCGTCATACTGCCCACAATTTACTTTCCTCATTAAAACTGGGAGGGGGAGGGTTGTGAATTTTTCTCAGTTTAGTAAAGAAGGGGGGAAGGGGGTATCAAAAAAATTCTGTGTAAATTAGGGGGATATGAAAATATTTCGCCTCTTTAAAAAATATCCTCGTCGCTTCCCCCTCTCCCCTCCTCCCACTTCGCGGCCGTTTTTCGGCAAACCACGGAACGCTATTCGGGGACAAAATCTACCAGTCCTACATTTTGCTCACTACTTGTCCAAACCGTGGACCGACGGGTTTGTCTATGTAAATGGCAGACAAGGCTGGTAATTTTTTGTCAAAAACAGTCTTCGGACTTGCGATCTCACTAATTTTGGCATTAAGCTTCATGGCCCTGTCTGTCCCCTCTTTTGGAAAGCCTGGTCAGTCAGCAAACATAATGTACATGATGGTAAGGACAACAATTTCAGTTTCACTCTTTTAAAACTAATCACATCTGAGATTTTCTCAATAAAAAAGAAAGAAACAAAAAAAAAATGGTACGGACATTCATGTAAAGTCAACTCTCTTTAAGACGCGGGACACCTTTAGGACCGGCACTAAGTGTCCGGGGGGGTACTCCCTCATATAAGCCATATAGGTAAAGGCCGCCCCAGGGGTAGGGTTTGTGCGCCGTTTTGGTCTGAAAACGGGTATACACTTTGCCCATTTTGGTCTGGAATCGGGTATGGTTTTCGAGGCGTGTATGAACGTTTCTGAAATCGGGTCAGGATTTGAAGAACTGGGCGGCACACCCCTAACGAGAATTCCTAGGAATAACGCCCCCCAGGCACTAGGTGTCCGTCTTAGAGAGATGTCCGTCTTATAGAGAGTTAACTAAAGGGAGTAAAGAAAGGTAGCTGCCTCGTACCCAGACGTCTCTCTCGCTCTCTATGAAAATGTGCGCCTAAAGGAAGGTGGGAAGGAGACAACGCGCGACACGCGCTTCGCCTGCCGTCTGTACTCTTCCCATGGCTCCTTGCGGTTCATCATAAGTCATTCGCTTTTCGCGCTCACCTTTACCATGCGAAAAACGAAGCGCCTAAGGAGGAGGCTGGAAAGGTAGGGTGTATTTCACCCATGTGTCGCATTCTCGACCCCAGTGCTTACGGGTTTGGGAATGCGCTCTCGATCTCTCTCCTCGACATGCGTAGAAGAGCTCTGGGTCGAGATTGCCACATGTCGCCCAACACAAACTTTTTACTTACTCTTCAGAGTTATGCGAAAGCTACATGTGGCTACATTTCCAGACGAGTCTGCTGCCCTATAAGTCACTTCGTATGAACCAGGAGCACTAAAAAGAGAACCACTATGTCGGTTTGAAGTGAGAATTGGAGGAGCACCAGAATTGTCTGTAACCTTGGGTTGCGGCCAATTTACACGAACCTCAGACTCGCCGGTTTCAATTAAGACATCGCTTGGGCAATCAGTGAAAACTGGAGGCTCCGTATCTGAAATATGATTAACAAAATTAAAATAGTTGTTACTTTAAAAACAAAGATTTTGTGTCATGTTAAGGTTTACACAGAACTTTAATACTGTTGTGAAGTATTTTGAAAGTTATTTTTAAGACGGATCTATCCTAACTTTTGAGTTTAGTTTCATTAAGTCTTGTTTTTGTCCACGTCCTGTTTTCCTGTTTTGACCTTTTGTTTTTACTTGTACTTGAAGTTATGCTTAGCTCGCGAATTTACTTATTGCCATATTAGGAATGTTACAGGTGGTCGTGTTTGTGGTGTTAGAGCTGACCTTCGTTATTTGGTACTTATCAGCTGCGGCAGGGCGTAGGCTAATCTATTCCCTGACAATAGCAAACCCGTTGCAGTGTTAGCGATAAGAAATACAATAGAAACTCTTCCGGTCAGCTAACCCAAACATGCCCAGCTTTGGCTATTAAAAACCGCTACTATACTTGAACTGGGGTAATAGATGTAGGAGAAGTAGAGTAGATGTAGAGTAAGCAGAAGTTGTAAGAAAATTAAGAAGAATAAAGGCCATGATCATGATGTAAATCAGATTCCTGGTACCTCGCCGTGTAGCGAGCGAGTTGCTCGAACACAGCCCCACAATACACAAGATGAATCTTCATGAAGGCTCAACACATCTCACAAAAGCGTTGTAAAATTCATTTCTTAATTTATTAACCCTTTATTCAAAGCCCCAATATCCACATACAAATTCTCTATATTGATCTCTTTACTTTTCCTTGAAAAACTAGTAGAGAGAGTAACATTTTCTTTTGACAATGCATCGATATTGTTAGGAGAAAAATTGATGTTGATCACTCTTTCTCTTGGGACTTAAAGGGTTTACGTTTTCACCAATCAATGGGCTGTTTTTGGGTCACATGTACACCTCTGGCTGATGGGTGATTTTGAATTAATTTTTGATACAGTTAATTCACTCGTACTCATTAACGCATGATGAAGATCTATACTCGTTGTTTTAATTCACAAGCACGATGAATATTAAATACAATAGAACCTCGATTTAACGAACCTCTATATAACGAATCGAACTCCTCGGTTTAACGAACGATTTCCATCAGCCCGGGCAAAAGTATAGTAAAATGTATGGAACAGAACCTCTATATAACGAACCTCGATTTAACGAACCTCTATATAACGAACTCCTCGGTTTAACGAACGATTTTCATCAGCCCGGGCAAAATTATAGTAAAATGTATGGAACAGAACCTCTATATAACGAACCTCGATTTAACAAATATTTTAGTTGTTTCCCCCAAAATTCGTTAAATCGAGGTTTTCGATATAACAAACACATTTCCCCAGTCCCCTGGCACTTCGTTAAACCGAGGTTCCACTGTACTCGCGTCCGAACATAACTTCTTCCTTCACAAACTGAAGCTCTGCCGCACTAATGTACTGTAAAGGCCCACAAAAAAAATGCCCATTCATATTTTCATCTTGTACTTAAAGTTGAAATTGTGTTAAAATATACGCATTCCTTCTCACGATCACCTAAGCAGAGTACTATGTTAAGTGGGGATGGGTGATTAGATAGTCGCATTAGTGCCTGGTCGTGTCAGTAGAACCTGTTCAAATCGTTGGGTATGTCTTGTGGATAAAGGATATTATTTTAGCTGTTTCCAACCTGGCGTAGTCCCAAAAGGACCTATACAACAATGGAAATAATTTACACTCTAAGAAAAGTTAATAAATCTTCGATTTTCCTATTAACAATATATATAATAGAAAAACATGAGACGTCAGCCGCATAAGGAACAAATTAAGCATTGACCGTAACAGGACGTAACCGGCAGCCAGCGCCCCATTCATGACCCTGTGATAACAGAAAAGCTAACTTTTTCCTAATAGTAAAGTCGATTACCTGTAATTGCCGCAGTAGTGAATTTTGTCAAGAAAACAGTAGCAATCAAACTTTGCAGAAACTTCATGTCAGCGCGTTCCAACTACAACGAATACTCCTCAGTATATAGGCAAAAAAAAAAAAAAGAATCACCTTTTACTTGCGCGCAGGCATACGAAAACTATGATTGCACACGTACTGATGATAGATATTCATGAACTCTACAATAATTATTGTTTTGTTAGCTGTTCTGGAGTTGATGATGGATCACTTTGTTGAACAAAGATCTTTATTCAGCTGCAGATCACAGTGGGCTTCAACTTTTCTACTCGAGAATTTTCGCACATTTGAATAACTGTTTTATCAGTCATCCTTGCACAGTTTGGTCTCTTGGTTAAACTGCGAACACTCTCTCCCCCGCCCCTGCCCCCAGTCTTTCTTCGGCCGTTTTACTATTAACTGACATAATTTTACTTTTTCGCCCAGCGCGCGTAGCTCTGGGGAATGACGGACGACTTCTCGCTGTCTAGTCTCTTGAGTTTGACGCTGTAACATAGATACAGATACGAATAGATACAATTCAAACAATGCATAAATACGATCGCGACTTTGAATTCAGTTCCACATGTTAAACAAATAAAAAAATAACTTTTTCTAAACTTTGATCTCCATGTAAATGCTTGCAATAGAAATTAAAATCGGTGAGAAAAGCAACCAGTTCTCTTACGGAAATAAGGGCAGAGGGCTCTGAATAACCAGGGGCGGATCCATAGACCTGATAGACTGCCAGCAGTCTCTTATTTTTCTTTTGAGTCACTGAAGGTCTAGAGCAAGAGTGAGGTGCAAGCGGAACGAGGGCTGAAGCCCGACCGTAGAACATCTCATAATTTCTGAGGAAAGAAAAACGACCGCGCTCGCAGTCGGCGAGCAAGCTCTCCCTGGGACCCCATGCTATGGTACCTCCAGCTCTCCCCACCTCACACCCGTCAGGTCACTGGACGAAAAAGTGGATTTGCTCAAATTTGCTCCTTACAAATTGCAAATATGTAAAAACTGAGGAGTAAATATATTGCAAAGATGGTAAAAGTGCCATTTCCATACCAAAAACTAGGGGGTGCAAATAGCCAACCACTGGTTGCCCCGGCGAAATGACGCCTGACGAACTAGCGCAGAAATTCTGCATTGTTGACGTGTCACTACCCAGATTCGGGTAATGTTTATGATGTACCATTTACCATATGTATTAACCACTGAACGATCCTTTCGATGGCAATGTCTTTATTGCTTCAATCTTAACAGTTAATCAATATTTTGTCCCATAAAATGAGGAACCACCTATTTGTGTCCTCCTTTACAAAATTAATCATGAATCACCATACTCAGTGTTTCAATCTATATTAATAGAGCTTTATATCCGAGGACGAGGAAGACTACGAGGGCGAGATTTAACTTACAGGTTTTTTTCGCTTATGCTCAAAGAGTAAACAATCCAGACAGCTTCATTTTACGTTTTTTTCACCAAAACCAAAATAGGGACTTTAAGATCCAACGACGCGACGTTAACGAGAACGTCGCTTAAAAAGTGAATTTGCGTTCTTTCAGTCTTTATCGCAATTTATTCCTACCCACTTACTTTGTCAAATGTAGGTGAACCCTCCTGGAACTGAAATCCTAGGGCCAATATCCAAGTTCAAAAAGAAATAAAATTTCGTCCTTGCTTGTTTATGTCCTCCATAAAACGCGAAATTGGGCATGTTCACGTCGAAGTCGTGCAAAAACGGACAAAGAAATGTACAAAAAAGCATGATGCACGTGCAAAGTTGTTGTTTTGCTTATAAAAACCTATTGTTTTTTTTTTACCTTCTCGTTGCCGTCCGCGTCTTTGGATCTTTAAAAGTCCCTAATGACGCGGGTTCACGTGCGGCGCCCACTACTTGGTACAACGGTGGCGATGTCTAAGATTAACAAGTGAATTCGCGCTTCTTCATGCCCAAACTCGGGGAGCAAGGGTGGCGCAGTGGTGAGAGCGCTCGCCTCCCAACAATGTGACCCGGGTCAACTCCCGACGTCGACGCCATATGTGGGTTGAGTTTGTTGTTGGTTCTCTCCCTTGCTCCGAGAGGTTTTTCTCCGAATTCTCTGGTTTTCCCCTCTCCTCAAAAACTAACACTTCCAAATTCCAATTCGATCTGGAACGCACGGACACGTTTCAGTGAGTTCATAAGAACTCCTATGTGCTTCGTGGGTAAACAAGCAATTTACAATTTTTTTTACAATTTTTATCACGCTTATTCCATCTCGTTTACTCTGTCAAATGTTTTTGGCCTTGAATTCTAAAGGACGGTATCAAAGTTTAGGAAACGAAAAACAAAGTTGTTGTCTTGTGTTCCCGTCCTCGACAAAACGTGGATTTAGGCACTTTCACGTTGTATCGTGCAACGACGGCTAAGAAATGTACAAAAAAGGGTGATGCACGTGCAGAGTTGTTGTTTTGCCAATCTAAGGGCCTGTTCACATGGAGTGATGGAGTGGGGGACCCCGGTCTAGTGGGGTAAGTTTCTTTTGTTTTCACGTTCTGGGGGACACAAAACAAAAGAAACTTACCCCACTAGACCGGGGTCCCCCACTCCATGTAAACAGGGTCTAAACGTATTGCTTTTTTGCCGTTCTCGTTGCCGACGCCTCGTCGTTGCTTAAGCTCCCTATTCAGAAAATTTCGTTCTCCCAGTGACGTAGCCGTCCTCGTCTTAGAATCTGAAGGTCTCTAACAGTGCAACAACGAATATTAAAAAAAAAAACGCGTTTTACCAGGCCAACTTAGTGGCCACAAAGCGAAGCGAGGGGAACTAACGAAAACTCAAAGTTATAGTGAATCGTGTAACCTGCGAAGTCAAGAGTGGAAAGCAAATATTTTAAATGTGTTGACAGTGAAAAAACCGTGTTATTGATGTCGGCCGTCATGCACGGTGTAGGTGATTGAGCTCTGAGAATAAAAAGACCTTTTCCACTCTAATGGCCTGGTTGAATGTATAACAAAATCGTCGAAAACACACCTATCTATGATTAATCTCGTGGTCGCTATCCACTTGGTCTAACTGCGTTCTGAATGTCAAGTCCTAGGAATAAGTGACTGAGAAAAGTCTTTGGCCTTTTTAGTATGTGAACCCAGTACCAGAAGATCTGTTTGAGAGTTCGTGACTTATTCTAAGTTGAGGCAAGTTGTTAGTTCTATACACGGGTTTGAAAAAACCGGACGAAGATAAATTGGAGAGGTTTCTCACTCTCAATTCAGCAGTAACAAACATTATACCTCATATTTCAAAAACTGAAAATATGTTGCTGACATCAACAGCGGGAAACGCGTGTTTAGCTTAAAAGGTGCTTGAATTTGTCTTGCTATATTCGGTCTAATTCAGTCCCGGTGGATTGTGGTTTTGAGAGCGAAATAACAGTTTGTTTTTCAAATAATAACTTATAAGGAAATTCTTACTGGCGCTATTTTTCACAAATACCTTAAAACGTGACTGTCTAGCTTAAGAGAATTAACTCTACCTATTAAACTCGTAACTCCACCGTCGTTTCGAACTAAAAATTCTAAAACCTAAGCACCGTCTACTGTCTGATAAAACCCAACAGGATGTTAAAAACAAACTTCTCTAATAACCAAGTCTAGTAACTTCTGGCGCAACCGGTGGAACAGAAAATCTTGTTCTTCTTTGGATGACGAAGAAACTGCCTTCCAATCAGTGATGTCTTGCACATTGCGCACTTGAAGCACTCGTCTCGCGCGTGCCAGAACTCTCCCTCGTATTCGATCCTCTGAGCGTCTGCGCCAATGACGTTACGGCATTCTGAGCATTTCTTAGCGTACAGGCGATTGTAGCACTCCATGCAGTGTGGATGCCCGTCACGTGCAACGTACAGTAGCCCACCCAGATCCCGATCACACTCGTAACAACAGAAGTGCTTGCGATGCCAGTTACGGTCTTCGGCCTGAGTGTATTCCCGGCTAAAGATCAACTGCAACAAAAATACGTTGTCTGTAAATTTACTGAAGTATTTGTTGGGATTTTTGAAGGGGCTTTAGCCTGTATGGCAGGACATAAGAATTATGGGTGCAAGATAATTGCTGCGCGTGAAAGAGGAAGACACGCGCGGGGAAAGACGAAGCTCTCCCTGATCTTGACTGGTTGGTGTTCGTGTTTGCTAGCGAGTACTGCACCATTCACACCAACGCTTGAAAATGTTTAAAACCTGTTTCGTTAAACATGGTATAAATTATTTTAATTCCTTTGTAACAGCTGCCTAAAGGTTTTGGTCGACTACAAATTTGGCAAAAATGAAGACACAAGTCCAAATTTTACTTGAAAACCTGGTTTAGATATAAAACATGTGTTCCTGGTACAAAGCTTATGCTTCTACCGCAAATGGGGCAGGTTGATTGTTAACGCTTTGACCGTGAATGGGGCTTTGGAGCTGTCAGTAAATCACGTTGAAAGTTTAGGATGTTTCTTGGTGTTGCAGGCGAGAAACTACAAATATATGGTTGGTGTGGTGTTCAGTGTCTTTTCAATCATTTGTTTTACAGCTGCACGTCATTTGGTGATCGCAAACGTCCGCAACACGACCAAGAAACAACAAAGTCTATCAAACAGTAACATAGACATCAGATTCTCTCACCTCATCACAAGCAGCACAGCGGGGCTTGAACATCTCAGCGTAGTGTCTGCCGCAGTAGATGCCTCCATCCTTGTAGAAGTAAATCAGGTCTACCAAGAGATTGTTACAAATCTGGCACACAAAGCAGCCGGGGTGCCAACATCTACTCTCTCCGGCACGAGAAGCAAAAACAGCAATCTCTCCAAGGCCAATGTTTTGACCACAACGAAAACAAACCTATGAGGAAAAAACACCATAAACTTTCAGATAGTAACCACAGGGTGGCAACAGTTCTGTTTTTTCCACACGAGTAAGCCACAATATCCACATACCAATTCTCCAAACTGATCTCTATACATTTCTTTAAAGAATAAGTTGAGAGAATTTGATAAAAGATCAAAACATTTTCTCTTTAGTGATCATTTCATTAATTCTCATAACCTTATCTCTTGACAAGGTATGGATATCGTGAGGAGAAAATTGGTGTTGGTCACCATTGGTGCTTAAAGGGTTAATAAATGTGTACTTGTTGGAGAGTGTGACTGTAGTGATGCATTGGGGCGCCATGAACGAGTTATATAATTAGCTACAGTGTAAGTAATTAAACCACATTTCTAGTCCTAAAAACGAAAGGTGTTTTTAAAGGACAATGAAAGTAAAGTTCTTTCAGAGCTTCATGGCTGCAGAATAAATCAAATGCTTTCTTAAATTTCCCATTTTTGTTTTAAACTTTTATGCATGCTAAAGTGTGACAAAAATGTAACATTAAGCAAAATACATTTTTAAGTAGTAGTGTTTTTAGTAGCCTGCGAAGGCATCCTGTTTTTTGGGCTTTAGTTTCACCTGCCGAAAATGATTATTTTTCAAAGGGAGAGAAGCGACAACCGGAAATACGTCTGCGGTTCGCAGACTATGTTTTTAGGAGCCTGTGTCACAGATGTAATCTATAAATGAACCCCTGATCCTGGCTTTGGGTTCCCAGTGGACTCAACTAATTACCGAAAGTGCATTTTGAATTTCCCTTCAACCTGATTGGCAAATTGACAATGGCTTTTTTAACAAGCCAATCATGGTACATACTGAAATACTGGTACCCAGGACAAGGATTCCCGTCCTGGCTCACAGATGGACTTAACCAGAAGTTTAGTGTCATTTGTGGGGCAAGCAGTCTTTACTCTTTCAAGAAATTGCAGAGTGAATCAGTGCCACAATGATTATAGTAATACATGTACACACCCATTTAGAGATAGGGTTGGTTTTCTCTCTCACATCTCCTACTCCCAGAGCATTTTGGTTCCTGTCATCACAGAACTGCCTCATGCTGTCTCTTTCAGCTTCAGTTAAATTGTCGCAGTAGTTCTCATCATGGTCATGGATTGGTAACTGATACATCATTTGCTTGCGGCGATACTTAGCACCATCACTTCCAACTTTAGGTTTAACCTCAGGGTGTAGCGACTCCATGTACTTCATTAGCTGTGAATAAATCACAAAAAAATGATTAACTACTTTTTAGAAACAAGAGGCAGGAAGTTTTTTTGAGGAATGCAACACTCTTTAAGCTGGACTTTCTTAGAAGTTGTGAATAAAAATAGTACTGGAATGGTCAAAGATTTTGAGCATAATCAACTGTTATCACATTGTACAGTGGCCATGAATATTCGCCTAACTAATGGCCCTCACTGGAAACCAAAAATCAAATAATAATATTTTGAATAATAATGCCCCTTTGAAAGGCCCTTTGGTTCTCATTACAGGGTTGGCACGCCCCTAGACCCCTGTGCGCAGACACTCAGGCCCTTTGGGGACTTTCCCAGATTTGAGTGCGTACATTGGCCAGTTGTTTTGTTTTGTTTGCCATGTTTTTCAGGATTCTAATTTGTTGAGTCCGTTGGGGATCCAGAACAAGGAATCTTTCAAGTCATGCCTTATCGTCAAAAGGCTAATGACAATGACCCTGCATTACAAATATCTCTGCTAGAAAGGCTCTGTCAAAAAACAATTTATACAGTAAGACAAATCTTGAATACCTACCACACCCTGCTGTAGTCCGGGGGGAGTCCATGCAAACTGCCTGGCATACTCAGACCGCTGAGTATTATTTGCTTCTTCCAATTTGCGGAAGTAGTCCCTAATGTGTCCTACAGGGGAGTCTTTGGAGAACAGACTGTGCACCACTAGTTTGTGGGCCTCTTCTTCTGCACTCTTGATATCATGTTCCTCTGGTTTACACTTGCAAGTCTTGCAGATTTTCCTGTGAAAAAGACGAAACACTGAGTACAGTTCTCTCGCCTTGCGAACATCCCACTATAACGGACACCCTGACGATATGGACAGTAGCTAAATCCCTGGCGAAAACAAATTACAGATGTTTGACCTAAATTAACTCCCACTATTACGGACTCGAACTAAAGAGGACACTAATTCGAGGTCCCTACAGGGTCCGTTATGATGGAAGTTCACTGTAATTTATTCTCTTTGCTAGCTAAGAAACCATATCTCTGCCAGGTTTCATGGCAAAACAGCCAAAAAGTCTCCTTAAACATTATTATTTGACAGTCAGGTCATGATTTGTCCAAAGAGTGGATAGTAGAGTTGCCAACTGGATAAGAACTCATGAGATAAGCCTTAGACCTGGCCCAAGTTGTTCAAGGTGGAAAGCACTATCCACTGGGTAAATCTCTATCCAGAGGATAACACATTATTATTTTCCCTAATACCTATCCACTGGATAGTGATTTATCTGGTGGATAGCAGGCAGGGTTTTCATTAAGAATTAAAGTAGCAGGAGAATATGTGTAACGTTACAGGAGAATATTTTGAAAGAGGCTCCCTGTCTGAATTAAACATAGTCATAAGTTACTGAACGTTAGTCGGAGAATTCTGCGTAGTAAACAGAGAATTCTCTGATCTCTGATGGCTAATGAACACCCCAAGCAGGGCTTGGAAAAAGTCGCGTCTGGCAGTCCAGTACAAGTACATTTTCTTGCTGGGAAAGTAACTTTTAAAGCTTACTTGCCCAGTGGGTAAGGGTACAAGCAAGTCACCCTCTAACAAATAATTAAAGACAAGCAAGGAGCGGCCTCAGCAAGCAATATGTGAGAGCTGCTTGCAAAAAGGACAGGCTTGAATACAAGGTTTTTTTTAGCCCTTGGATAGTGAACATTTGAACAACCAGGAAGAGGCCTTCTGGAAGAGAGAAAAGATATAGAGGATATTACATGGCCGAGCGGAGATACGAAATTTATCTTCGAGTGTTGAAAAATATTTCTTCAACACCAGAAGAGAAATTTTGTATCTCCAAGTGGCCATGTAATGTTCTATTTATTACATAACCACCAATGAAATACCAAACCATTTCACTTGAATAGTTATTTGTTGTGAAAGGCAGGATTTATTACATAGCCATGGCAACAGTAATGTTTTCACAAATGAATATAATATGTTATTTTCACAAAAAAGATGTCATGTTTTCGTGCAAAAGCTCACATGGTATTTCATTGGTGTTTATATAATAAAATAGTTTACTACAATCAATACAGATAAACCAACGAAACTGCAAGAAACTCAAACCCAAGGAATGAGAAGCATATTAAAGCCCCACCTTCCCCTCCCATTTAATTCACTTCCCTTTTAAGTATGCAGACAGCCTCATTGGTGAGTAACTTTACCTCCAGAAGTGCAAATCTAATCCACCTTCACATTTTACAGGTCCACATTTCAGACAAGGTGCCCCAGCATTTCTCTCATGACCTAAAGTAAACTAATAAATTTAAACACTATATTAAAATATAAATATGTGCATATCAGTTTCAGTCAACTCTGAAGGTACAAAATGAAAACTTCCTGCAAATAAACTTTTGGCGGGAAGGTCCTCATGAACATACATTTTTTAAAATATTAACAGCAAATAGAGTTAGTGAATGAACGACAAAATTCCCTACTCACTCTGCACTTTTAAAACGACAACCGAAAACCTTTCGTCATCAGCTGAGGTAAAAAAAATATTTCCGCTGATAAAAGATAACCAAACTAGCACTTGTTTTGAAATCCCACTGCAGTGAAGATGATGTTTCTTGTCTGAAAATGGTGTCAAATGATCGAATTTAATTCTTAATTCTTAAATGCCTTCGATATTAACATCATGACTTGTTCCCCAGCATTAGAAACATTAGGTCGCTATTGCATGTAGTAAAAATTGACAAAAAGTGGTGCTGCGTGGAAAAGCAAGAGGTTTCAAATTACATGTGTCATACAGTGAAGTTGGTACAGCTAATTTAACTTTTTCAAGTTCTAGCGTTTTCTATCTTGCTGTGAACACAAACGGTACACACAAAGGTTTTTTTTCTCATTTATAAAGTGTTATCTAAGCCACCCTATTTTTTGCTGTACGTTTTGTGGTAACTTTTGAAAGGCTCGCAAAACATTTCAGTTTTTGAAAATGATTTACGGCAGCTATTCAAGTTCATATTTCAATCTCTTTTTCATTTACGCTGTCGCACCCGACACACGTAAATAAATACCTTTTGGTCGTTGCTTTCACTGTACATGAAAAATAAATCGTTTCTCAAAATCCCTTCAGGTGGTGAATATAGAAAATGCTGGTTTCTTGAAAAGCAAGATTTGATTTTCACCTTTCAAAACTCGATTGGTTCGAGTCTTCTGTTTTTGTCTTGTCTCCTTTACAGCATTGTGTGACTAGACAAAAAGGGCTGCGAGGGAGACTTGGGTTTCGAGAAGAGTGAATCAAGCTTTGAGGATCTGGTCGAGACTGTCAACTTAAGATACAGAAACTATCGATAGGGTCATTTTGGTGAACTAATTAAAACTACCATGTTAGGTTTAGATACCCTGGTTCCACTGTTCTTGAAATACAATTATGAAGCAAAAAACCTCTAGCACAGAAAAAAGGAGATTGGCCATTGAATCTTAGCTGACCCTTTACTATGTTACTATTTGTGCCCTTGAGTTGCATAAATGATAAATTTGAAGTTTATCATCAACCAATTAGTGTACCAGTTGTTGCACGTTTAATAAAGTTACTTATTTTGTTTGAACGGGCTCCTAGAAATGTGGATTGGTCTCCAAACTTCTTATTTTAGGAGCTTGAAAGGCTCCCAAAAAATTTTCTTAGGCAGAAACCTTGCCAGTGGATAAACTTGTATCTTTCAAGAGAAATTTACAGGCAAGATATAGTTTTTTTGTAAAAAAAATGCATATCTTTTGACTTTGGTTCTTAGCAGCAAGGAATAAGAAGAAATTTGAAAAAGACAGAAACATTATTACATTGGAAATAGAGTGGAAAGTGTTCACGTGAGATCTGCAGTTGACATGTTGGATGGGACAGATTTAAATGGTCAGTACGGCAATTCAGAAAAATAATTTTGTCTTTACTGTCATTTTAAATACGTAAGTGAGCATTCGTTAATTTAATCTTAGAAATCAACTCAAGAATTTTCCCTTTTTTGCCCCTGCAAACTTAATCCTTATTAACAATGCTTTTTCCACAGGTTGGAAAACTAGTTTGTAAATGTTTTCATAGTTTCTGAAGCAATTAAGACTCTGCATAAACCTTCTGAGTTCATGTACTTTGGGAACCATTGACAGGGTACTTGGATGAATTGAACTAATTATTTTGTCTTCGCTCATTGCTCGAACTGTCGAAATTGTTGAATTTTAGTTCTCTAACCTGAACATTTAATTTGTTTTCCATGAGCGTTAACGTTCAAAGCGATATTGGCTCTGAATACATTTATGGTGGCTAACTCTATTTATCTTAAAATCAGTGTTGGCAAAACCAAATTTACACTGCCACTCTCACAAAATGGACATAATATAATGATATGATTATAACCTAATGAACATTCAAATCTAAAATGAAACTGACTACCACTCTAAGAAACAAAGTAATTGGTGAAAATAACATTACATTTTTATTTTGAAATACGGAAAGCTAGAGTTGCATGTACATGGATAATAAAGCTTAATGGTTTGGTTTGGCATAAAATTTGAGCTTCGTTCGTGTTAGTTTGTTTAGTCATACTGTGATTCAACATCAATCATACCCCCCAAGGAGCAAAAACTTTGTTAACGTGACTAAATATATAGACTTGCTCATCGTAAATACCTGAAAATGTCAGGGAATGACACGACAATAAAGTCAAACAGTTTTGCATACAAATAACGCTCACAACCCAAGGCCAAATAGTAAATTCAAATGACCGAAGCATCACTGAATCTGACGACTAACATATAAAATAATAAAAAAGCTTGTGCTAACCGAGCACTTTTATCTAAACAGGCAGATAAATGATGGTCAGATCAACTGAAAATCGTCAATGAAACATTCTCAAAATTAAGCAATGTTATTGCTAGATAGAATCCGTTAGATTTATTATTCCAGTGCGAAGCATCGAATATTGGCAAATTGCAACTCAAGAGCTATGCGTTCACATAGCAGCAGATCGAAGTGTGAGGTCGTGTCACATGCTAGATCTTCGTCGTTTAGCACGAGGACATAATTCCAGGATTATGAAAGGTAAATCCAACGATAAAACTCGTCTCCTCTCGATAATTTCAACGTATTGCTACGCCATGTTAAATTGCAACAACAATTCGCGCGACTGACCTTTTTAGGGAGGTGAAAATTGACAACCTCTTCAGAACTTCCATACATTCTCTCGACAGATCGGAAAACTCTGTCCTGGACGATATCCTTCTTGAGTTTCTCAGGTCAAAAGTTCGATACAAAAGTGACTAACTATAAAATTACGCTTCCTATAATTAGAGCAAATGCCTTCCAACTTCCCTCCCAAAGACGTCAACGGATGTGATTCGTCTTGGAAACTCGCGAAGAATGCTGGGTCACGCAAGTAATCTAGGGAGGGGAGACAGGGGCAAATTTGCAGCCAAAGTTATGGTTGACTTCAGAGATCTGTTAAATCTGGTAAATGGCCATGATATATGCAAATCAAGTTTTGAAAAAATAAAAGTAAAAAAAATGCCGAAGTGAGAAACATTATGTTGAGCCTCTACAGCAGTAAAAGAGAGTGAGTTGGTGGAATAAAATTGTAATTTTTAGTTGTTCTGCAAAGTAGTCGCCTTTCTTCGGTTTATAAGAGGTGAACAGCTGAATTAACCGCAGATTAGGTAAACAACAATCGGAAAAGGGTGATCAATGTCCCGTTCTAAGGACTGCGTCCCGGAAACCATTTTACTTCTTTATGCATCGCGATCTACTCGTTTGACAAGTCACAGTAAGTGCAGAAATCAAGGTAAGCGGAATGATTTTTTTTCTGTTTATTACAGGACCATTTTAATCAGTGCCTTTTCCTACCGATTTAATGATCCAAGGTTATTATTTTTTGCGGAGGTTGTAAAACCGCTATGAAATTGACGGTGTTCTGAATGGCTCACTATCTTGGTCCAGCTGAGGCCGCACTAGGTCCTTTTAATACAGCAAACAAAAGATGGAGCGGGAGCACATAGCTCTTGTAAAAGTTGATTAAATTAAGCCTATTTAACATCATTTTAAACCTTCGAACACCGAGCATTCTGTTGGGTGGAAAGTAAGCTTGTTTGGCCATCATTCAACCATACCGAAGACTACAAGTTCGCTTAAAAAGATAGCTCATACTGAAAAATTATGACCGCAACGAAAACAATCGACGGACAATAAGCTTTTGGCATAAGATTATAATATCTTTCACGATTTTTGACATGACTTTTAGACAGACACAAAGTAAAAAATTTATGTAAGCTTAGCAGTGGAATTGTCAACTTATGTAAGTTTGAGTTACTTAGAACATTAGATACTTAGAAATAAGGATGAATTTCTTACCTTCTCGCGGGGCATGGCACTCTTCTGGGTTTTAACCGTGATTTCTTTCTCCAGACAGATATGATCCCTTTGAAGGCCTCCTGGAGTAAGAAATAAATCTTTAACAATTTGACCTCAAACCGGTTCCAGAAATATTACTTACCATCTGTAGACAGACTAGACAGCGTCATGGCTGTCGACAGATCTGTCATGCGTCTGGATCACGTGACACGTACAAGACGTCGAAAAAGAAGTAAAGAGAAAAGTTTTACATTTCAGAGCCATTTTCCCATCCTTGATGGTGAAGTATGGGTGTTCATTTTTTGTCTATTTTATCGAAGATTATAGGTAATGTTGTCTTTGTTGGTCTCAGATTAAATTAGCTTACATTTAGATTGTATAGTTGATTTTATAACCGCAATACTCTCTGACTTCAATGTCTAACCTGAGATCAGGCCCAATTTTAGCGGTTCTCATGCACTCCGCTCTAACGGCTACCGCTAACGAAAATAGAACCTGATCTCAGGTTATGCAATGTCTGCAACGTACTGATTTATGGTTTCCGGGTGCTCATATTATAGAGGTTGATCTCAGTCGGATCTAGAACTGACCACCGGCCATAAAGAGATATTTAATTAGGGATTCAGAGTGTATCTTAGGTTCAATATTTATTAAATTCCTTCAAATTTTTTAGAATCTTTTTATTACTGAATCATTGTACAGAAGAATATACAAAAAACAAACTGAAAGCGAAAATTCAACCAAGGATAAAATTGAAACTGATTCTTTAATTCAACCAACCCTCTCTATAATATCTGTCCACAACATGTTAAAAATCTAATTTCAATTGAACATTTCAAATTTTTGTTTATTTCTTGTCATTCAGCCTCGTTAAAGGCCAGTAATTAAATCATCCGGTTGTTAAATGCTTATTACTAAGGGAGAAATTCATTTCAAGATAGGACAACGGCATGCAATACTTCTGATGAATTAACTGATTAAACATACCAATGACGAATTGCTCCTAAGAGGGAAATTTATAATTATTATTTTAAACTAAACTACAAAAAAAATTATTCAGTTTTCCTGGAGCGTTTTAAACTTAATTGATAATTGAAATACGGCACAGCACAAACAATTCATGTCAGTGCTTGGTCACATAGATGTGCACAAAATACTGTGGTCTTGGTAAGTCCTCGCGTTCAGCCGCGCAAGTGAATTTGTCAGACTTTAAATAGAAAAAGCAAACGTAAGCTTCTCTACTAATTTTGTAACGAATTTGCCTGTGTTTTTTCTCTTTTTAATTCCTTTTAACACTGCAATTTTCTTTGAATGTTTCTTTGCGGCTACAAGATCAGACCATGGACGGCCCACAACAAGATCAATCCATCGGCTGCAAGTTAAACTGTATACCCGCTTGTCGATCACTCAATCATTCTCGTTTACGGAAAAAGTTTAATCTTAAAGTTTTTACTGATAAGCAAAGATGTCAAAGATAAATTCGGATCAAGGATAAAAGTATTTTACCTTTTCGTCCTATTAGACTAGTAGATCTTTCCCTGGAATGAGTGCAGGAGACAAATGACTAGCTTTGTTGATTATCCGTAAAAATTTGCTTCTTACTAGAGTGTCGGAGTTAGTCTCTTACACTAATGCCAGTCTTGTTTTTACAGAAGGCAATGAATTCATATCTGGCCCGCTGTGACTATTAAACTGCCACAAAAACCATATGATAGCGATTATAAACTGAATGTAACATTAAATTAGACCTTCAGCTGATTCTTAATTAATGCAAAATAAACGCTGTTTTGGAGTGTTTCTTTTTCCTTTGATAATAACAATTACTAAGGTAAATCGTTCTAGGCTGTTCCTTTCGCCAACATGCAGTCTCGGTTAATTTACGTATTTATTTGTAAAATTGTGAAAGGTTTGAACCCAGGAGTCATTTCAAAAGTAGGTTGAGTTTGATCGTCCGGGTGAACGTAGTCCTGAATAGGACTGTTGTTGTTGACAGTGACTGACATTTCGACAACCTGTGTGGTAGTCATCTTCAGAGTCAAAGTGAGTTGTATCACTCACTTTGACTCTGAAGATGACTACTGCACAGGTCGTTGAAATGTCAGTCACTGTCAACAACAACAGTCCTATTCAGGACTACGTTCACCCGGACGATCAAACTCAACCTACTTTTTGTATTTATTTGTTTACAAATCGGATGCAAGGTAGGCAGTATTTTTTACATATCTTTGGGTTGTCCAATATAAAACAAGACTAGATTTCACTGGAAACAGGAGTAGACTCCCCTGGCTCCCTCACTTCTATTCGTAGGAGGCTTAATTTGCCATAATTATCGAAAGACAGAACTGACCGGCGCCGAAAGAAGGGTAGTGCCAATTATTCGTAGCTTTTCTTGACGCACGTTTTTTTCGTCATGTTCTTGAATAGTAGAAACGTCCGCCGTTTTCAACCCGTTCTCGACGGCGGTCTAGATATCGGATCTGACAGTGGGTAGCAGTATAAAGTGCAGGCGTTATTTGGAATTGGGTCATCCTCGTCAAAAGCCTGGGGACGAGGCTGGAATTGGGTGTGGGAGCACGGGAGCACTACATTTCGCTCATAGTTGTGGTGGAGGGAGCTAGAACATTGCAAGAAAACGCCTGCCTGCAAGTGTATTTTCTTCCCCTCCTCTACGTTAACCTTTCGCCTTATGTCTACCCGAAAGATTACACTAATATGTCTAATATGCTCTGTCCAATCTTCCTCTGTTTTCAAAATCAAAGATGGTGACTACCAGACACTGCACTCTAGACTTAAACAGATAGTGGACGTTAAGCAGCACTTGAATGGCCTCACAAGATTAGCGAAGAAAACAATTGTTGTTCGAAGGGCGATAAGCGCTTAGCCTGTTAGCAAACTCTCCGAGGCGCTCTGGCGGCGGGGCAGGAAAAGGAAGGAGACTGTTGCAACTACGTCTCTTCTCTGGAGATTGGATTCCACCTCCAATTCCCCTGTGGCTCCCCGTCGGATGAGCTGTCAGATTTCCGCCAATCAGCGCGAAGAGGAAACGAGCGCGAATGAAACAAAGGTTGAAAAACACGTGCCAGGGGTAATGACGTCATTACTAATGTCATCTCTGCCAATCAGCTTTCACATGAACTTTTTCGATACTAAAAAGATATTCAAATTCCAGAGACGTAGCTGCAAGCTCTCTTTCCTTTTCCGCTCCCGCCACCAGAGCGCCCCGGAGAGCTTGCTCTCAGGCTTATTGCGCTAAACCAGGATTAAATTTTGATCCAGGTTTTCATTTTCTTTTGTTCCAAGCATTTTCCGGGTAATTTTCTCTATTCTTTTTAGCCCAGCATCCAATCACCAAATTGTGGACAAAAAGAATAAAACTGAGTTTTCTTTTTAAGGTTGCATATCTGAATTCAAATTTCGCACAAACCCTGGGTTATTTTATTTCAAAAAAATTTGGAATGGGCCATAACCCCAAAACAATATTCGTAAACAAAACAATATATAATATAATAGAGCTACGCGCATGCGTGTTATCGAAGTTCCATTCAGGGACTTCCATTAGAGAGAAGTCGTTTCGTCACGTTGCCATGGTAGCAAAACTTTTGGATGACTACAAACCGAAAATTCACTTAAAAAGTAAATTCGCGCTGTTTCAAACTTCATCGATCTCATTCAATTCCATTCACTTTGTCAAATGTTGGCGAAATTTTCTAAATTGAATCCGAAAGGACCGTATCTTAGTTTAGAAAGAGAAAAAGAAACTTTCTGTGTTGCGTTCACCAACTCCGTAAAGCGGGCGGGTGAAATTAGGAAGTTTCATGTCGCAGTAGTGCAACGATGGCTAAAAAATGTCGAAAAAGAGTGATGCACGTGCAAAGTTATTGTTTTACTAATACAACGCCGTTCTCGTTGCCGTCGCCGTCGTTGTTGCCTGCTTTTGCTACCATGGTAACGTGACGTCACTCTTCTCCTCTCTATAGTCGCGCGAGATTTGAGCGAAATCAGTTCCAAACCCTTTTGGAATGATTTTGCTCTTAATTCTATCCGTCCAGGGGTGATTTCAGAAGGTGATATAGGCTGAAAGTAGTATTCAGTTGATCCTAAAATCCATAAAACCAAAAGAAATGTCTACGCATAATTCCACGTCAGACTTTTGTAAACTCCTACAGTGGAACCTCGACATAACGAAGGATTGGCAAAATCTGCTCGCTATAACGAGGTTTCATTATATCGAGGTCCTTTTTCGTATATTTTGCTATTACTGGGGCGGATCTAGGGGGAGAGTGCAGGGGGTGCGCACCCTCCCCTGAGATGACCTATGGTTTTCTAATACAACTGGTATTCTGCAGAAAAAAAAAAACTATGTGGTTTATTGGTGTTGAAGTAGAGCAAGAGACGAGTGCACCCCCTCCTAAAAAAAAACCTGGATCCGCCCCTGTATTAATGGGGTACTAAAGAAATTCGTTCCTTTTACTGAGGACTTCGTTATATGGAGGTTTGCTATGTTGAGGCTCCAGTGTAACTTCTTGTGGCAAAGCTAGTTGACCATTTAGTTCCAGGTTTCATCAAGTCCCAAATATTTATGTCGTTCGTTTAGCTGCATATATAGGCTATTCTTAGTAGGAAGAATAAAGGTTTTATTTTTTAACTGAAATCGAAAACGCCTATGAGCTACTTTACCTGTTACATTTTCTACAATTTTACGCGCTTTAATTTGTAGAAACACGTTCATGTCCACTGGCGCCTGCGATCATGCCGTACCCATATATATACCTCTCTTAAAAAAAAACGCCCCATCGCGAGTTACTAAATATGGTGATAAAGAGTAGTTATCAAGTAGATATCAATGATAGGCAAAGACAATCCAAGAGAGTAATCAAAGCTCTTGAAGGGGGAGGGGGGACATAAACGGAGGGGTTTATATCCGAGGGAGGCCTCATTTTGGCAATAGGAAAAGTGCCTTGAAACAAGCTATAGCAGTTGGTGATTAATTTTTGAACTTTAAATTGTCATAAATCATTTCAATACGAGCTAGAGGGGGGCTTATAATCGAGTGTCTACAGTTGGATGGCCCTAAACCAGGGGTTGGGGGCCGGGCGCACAAACGGTAGCTTACAGTTTTGTGCTGCAGCAATTTCTGAATAGTTAATTAGCTTTATAGTCCAAACCAGTACTGAACCAAACAATATACTGATAACATGCCGTTGTTTTCTTCCATTTTTATCCTACACAACTGCAGCTAATAATATTCATATCCATAAAACTCTCTATGTATATTCTTCCCATTCAGCTGAAGATGACATGAGCGTGTGGTAAGATCTGAGGTGACTAAGTCGTGGTATCATACCTTTACTTCCCTTTTTTACAAGCAAAAACAATTCAGTTCAAAAACAATATAAAGGATACCGTAAAATTCCGAAAATAAGCCCCGCGGCTTATATTTTTCAAAGGCCCTTTTTCGAGGGGCTTATCTACGGAGGGAAATTTGCGTTTCAAAATCGATTGGGCTAATCTTATAGTTGGAAGGAAATTTACCGTTTTTGCTTTGTTTTACTTTGTATTTGAGGGTAATTTCCAAGTACAAGCCCCCGGTGGGCTTA